TACCAAAAGCGGGTCTCCAAAACCAGAAAAATTTTAAAGGGGGGGGGCTTAAACCCCCAGAATTCCCAGACGGGGAACTGGGGGGGGGAATCCTGGGAGTTGAAGTCCATCCATCTTAAAGTTGCTGAGGTTGAGGAACCCTGCTTTAGATTATAAACTACCTCTGCAATGCTATCAAATGCTGGCTTTGGTGCACATAAGCAAAGATTTTTCAAATATTAAATTTTCTGTTTTTGTCCATGAAAGGCCATAAACAATCTATAATGTAAGTTTTGTATAAGATCACCCAAATCACTTCAACCTTTGGGCTGCTAAATTTATTTGTAAATAGTTTACTATTCTAATATGTTTTATATGTTATTTTTGCTTTTGATATTGCTTCAATCTGGACATTTCTATAGCTGTATGAGTGTAATAAATTGACTGAATTTTAGATACCTATGGGTAGGGACTATTCTGAGTTGATTGTATGTAAATAAATGTTTTTTGGCTCAAGACTGGGATTTTAATTTTTTTTCAATTAACAAATAATGCCTACTTTCATGCATTTCTCTTAATGCGTTTTTCCACAGATATATTGTTTTATGTATTTATTTTTATGTACAAAATATTTTTAATGCAAGTCTATAAACTATATATTTCAGAAACAATCAGAAAGGATGGAGCTGAAGAGGCAGAGCGAGAAAGCTGTGCTAAGACTTTTCACAAAGTGAGCATTACTGTTTTGTAGATACGAATTGTTTTCACTAGTTTTTTGTCATCTGATGCTGGCCAGAACATTGTGCTGCCTGGACAATAATCCAAATGAAACTTATGTCTGTAAGCTGAACATTTAAAAGTCAGACATTAATCTTGGCCTTTGTCTATCTCTGTGATGTAGAGAATGTGGGCATAAATTAGTTACCCCTGGAAGTACCATGGAGATGACCAAGGAAGCATTAAAAAAAAACCTGTGGACATCTGATTCTTAGCTGAAGTTTGCTGACCTAGAATAGTGCCCAAATTCTGACCTCAGGAATCATTGCCTTAGTTTGCCTGGTACAGTTGAAATGATGATCTGGTATTTTGTTTGAAATAATGCCTGAGTAAGTTTCTGGGCTGCTTGTTCTCTTAAGCCCTGTTTCTTGCATAAAAATAGGCACTTTTTCTTGACTCAGCAACCCAGATGTGCTGAGTCATTCACTGAGCAGCAGTCCTCATTAAAATGCCATGATTCATGCCTTCTCCACAAATGCCAATTAATGGCTTATATTACAGTTTGGTGTATATTTGCAAGAGAACATTCCATCAGCAAAGAATCGGTGTGAGTCCATTGTCTTTTCTACTTTTTGGTGCCCAAGCCATTACTTTATAGTACCAACAATTTTTCAGTTCACTGATAGTTTTCTTAATGCGGAAACTGCTGTTTCCTATTTTGCAGAGATATTTGACTGGTAGGCTTGAATGATCATGTGGATCATTTCATGGAAAAAGAAAATCAGGCCACTAGGCAAAACCAATTTATTTTTCTGGAAATGCTATTACTTTATGAATGATTCATTAATTCTGTTCTATTTAGCAGAGGGACTTTCCCTTCCTATTGTCTCACTAGGAAATAGGTAAACCCAATTATTGGGCAGTACATCGCTCACTGGAATCCATGTGATGGCAGTTCAAAAAAACCACAACTTGACACACCGTGGGTGAGAAATTTGGATTCAGATTGTGCCAAGTACAGCTAAATCTAGGCAAAGGAAGCTAAAGAATGTATGGGGGTGTGATTCAGTCTCTCTCTTTGCAGTTTATGTATAACTAAATTAAGATGACTTGGCTTAGAGATGCTTAATTAGCTTTCTGAACTAATCCCCTTTCTGTATTTGCACAATGCGCTGAACCATAAACTATCCTAAAGGTCTGATTTTCCACAACATGCTTTGCCACAAAATCAAATGTACAGACAATTAACACTAACCAGGTTTAGCAGCTTGTACAAATGCAGCTACTAAGTCTGTAACTGAGCTGGTTAAGTATGTGGCATTTAACTTAAATACTAGCTCGGTAGTCCAAGATTTTACTTTAGGAGCATGGAATATCAAAACAGTACAAAGAGAAAGAATACATAATCATGGAATCACAGAGCTGGAAGGAACCCTAGAGGTTTCCTAGTTTGACCATTGCGCAGTACAGGGTCAGTTATAGCATCTCTAAGAGGTGACCATCCAGCCACTGTTTGAAGACCTCCGGAGTAGGAGAACTCACCGGTTTATGTGACAGCTTATTTCACTTGCTGATGGCTTATAAAGTCAGGACGTATCTCTGTCTATTCTTCATAGGGCTTGATTTCCAGTCCCTTCACCAACTTAATAGACCAACCTGAACTCATTCCACTTTGTAACTCACCTTTTTGAACTGTGGCACTCAGATCTGGGGTTTAACCAGGTCAGAGTACAGTAGAGTGTGACAATCAGTTCCTGTGATATGGGTAATCCTTACTCTATCCCACCATTTTTCTGCTGCAGAGAAAGGAACTTCTTTGCTCGAAACATCGAAACTAAGGTTGTGCTTAGAGCCTTATATGATGAAACATAATTGGGGGTGATGGGGGGAGGGAAATAATGGAGTGGAGAAATATTGGGCAAAGAAAAGGTTAAATACTTTGGTTGCAGTTTTTAGATTTTTTAGATTTCTTTTATCCTGCCTTTCTTATTTTTATAAATAACTCAAGGTGGTGAACTAATACTCCTAATACTCCTTCCTATTTTCCCCACCACAACAACCTTATGAGGTGGGTTGGGCTGAGAGAGAGGGCCAAACTCTGTAGTCCCACCTTAGGCATGAAAGCCCAAAGTCACCCAGCCGGCTTTCATGCCTAAGGTGGGACTAGAACTCACCGTCTCCTGGTTTCTAGCCTGGTGCCTTCACCACTAGACCAAACTGACTCTCAGTGCACTCATTAGTATGTGTTATGTGGATTGTTCCTAACCTGTGAAGAAACTGTGACTTAAGTGAGTTTATATTTCAACCTGTCCTCTTAATATATCTGCATTATTGGTTTAATATTATTTTACCAAAAAACATCTCAAAGCTTCAACATGTACCATATTTTGGATATATTATCTTGCCTTTATGTGGGATTAGCTCAGTAATATAGCCACAGGCTTCAGGAGTCTTGAGTAGCCACTGTTGCAGAATTTACCATATTAGTTTTGGTTATTTTTCCGTTTTCTCCCAGGTCCAAACAAAATGTTCTTCTAAAGACTCAGTAGGTACCAAAAATAGTAACCACATCCTTAGTTCCTACTTCTCTTTTTGTCCTATTTCATTAAATTTGCCCTGTCCCGAAATCATTAACATATAAGACATTGCTGCTGAAAAATACCTAGAAATATGGAGCAAGGACAGGAAATGATGCTATCAGGATGTGATCTATTGATATAATCAGGATGCAAGTACATTTGACAAGATATTATGAAATACGGAACTAAAAACATGATTTCCAGTTTTGACAGCAAATTGCACATAAACTGTAATACCTAGGTTGACCCTGCAACCATTTAATTTTGTCTGCAGCTTAACAGCTCTCCTCAATCCATTTTTATTGTCCTTTGATTAATCTGAAATTGATTATCATGAGGCTGTACAGTATAACTGTAAATATGCTAATACACAGCATATGCGGGTTTTTTAAATGCAAGCTTGCAATACCTGAAAAAGGAAGCCTGTATATATGAGAAAAGTGTGACTGTTAAGTAATAGGATAATGAAAAAATTAGATGAGACAAAATTGCTAGTCCTGGTGCGCACATTAACAGCTTTTGCAAACAGCCATTGGCCTGCACACAGAACATATTAAATTTCTGTAACTGTCCAAATGTCTTTTTATTTTTTAAAACACATTAATTACATTTTCCTGGCCCTCATTCTAGAGCTGACACACCCATTACAAAGGATTTGAGTTTTCTAGGATCCCAAACAACTTATAATTTGCCATTGTTGGAAAATGCTGACCCTCCCCCAAAAGTTCGCTTTCCAGTTTTTTCCCATCCACCCTTCAGCCTTGTAGAAGTAGACTGGGAAAATATTGTAGCAGACTGGGTGGGGAGGCCTTTCCATCCTCCTCTAGGAAACTCTACCATGTCCCCATCCCTAATATTGGTCTTGGCAGCTTCCAAAAGACCAGAGGGTGGATCTTGATCTCCTCTATTGTTTCCCTTCAAGGGAAGTGCAGAAGCAACAACTGTCTGTGAGAAGGCAGATAGCAGATCTCAAGAAGATGAAAATGCCTTTCTGGCTATGTCACTTTTCAATGGACAAGCTTATATGGAAAGAATTCCACTGAATTTTTCATTTCCCTTTTGTACTTTCCCTTACTGTATTTGGTAAAAAATGGAGAGTCTTTTCATATATTTGAGTTTTCTAAAGTTCTTGTGTTTCCTCCATATTTCAACATATTTCAACAGCATTTTCAGGCACTGCTTTTTTCTCAGCATTTCAGGCTGGTGCATCTTTTTCAGTTGAGATACTCAGTTTTAGAACACACCTCCTGAAAAAGTATATCTGCTATTTATGCTGCTTATTTTCAGTTGCTAGGTAAAAGGTATTTATTTTCCTTCATGTCGTCAAATTTCTTGTTCTTGCTTCTTCTGTCACTGGATGTTGCATTAGATTATTCTGTGGTTCTTATTTATGGAGTTTGATATTTTAACTGTAAGCTACTCTGGAAAATTAATTGGTAAGATGAGATATAAATATATATAATATTTAAAAACTAACTATAGCCTTGAACATATCAAGTGATATTAAACAAGTAACTATCAGCCTTCACACTGCCAGCATCTCTCTCTCCTATCTGTACTATGAAGATAGCAATGCCTTCTGTCCTTATAAGGATGTGAAGATCTTTAAGCAAACACCATATAAATATAAAATTATTCATTAGCAAATACATTGCCTGTGGTTTCTTTAGAAAATATTTCTAAAAAGAATTTATAGGTACAGAAAAATACTATAATAGATCCATCACACATGAAAGAAATAAGATATTTTTTTTGTAATCATTATTTCAAACACTGACATTACTTCTGACTCTTTTCATTATGTAGCATTTGATAGCAATTTCCAGGAACATCTGAGCACACTTCAAATGGTCCATATCTGTGTTTGTGAAAGTGACACACTTAATGGTTTACTGATAGAGAAGTCATAAAAGGAGAAAAAAAGGGTCAGTTCCTTTCTCTCTTTTCCCACAATTTCCTCAGCCCTTCACATATTTTCTTCCACTTCCAGGCCTCTGAAGCTCTGTTGCTGCTTTTATAATGGAGTTAATTGCCTTATCCCACCGTATCTTGTTGCTTTTGTAGAGACAAACTTTTTTAACTGGTAGGATTTTCTCCTGTACCTCTTTTCTTCTTTTGATGAATGGTGTGATGGGAAGAGATAGGCTGGGTACACGCAATGCATTTGGTACAAATGAAGTAGCTAGCTTGTGATTCAGTGTGTTGTGGGAACCCAGCCAGTGTGGTTCAGTGTGTTATGAGAACCCACAATTCAATAATCCATAGTTCATTGCAAGCAGGAAAACTGGTGATGTGTCCTTGGGTCTGGTGTAAGAACTGCCATCACTATTCCTAGAAGCCCCCAAAGTGAAGTAGGCTAACAGTATGGACCATTTTGGAGTTTGGGAAGATGTTGAAGGGGAAAATGGGTGTCTTGCACATACTTAAGCTGATG